GATCCGCTCAGCTCAGCGGGGCCCTCGCCGGGCTCCGGGGATCTGGTCACTAATTTAGACACATAAACGACTTTCTGCTACCGGAGCCATAAAAACAATTAGTCTGAGTTCCTGAGCGCGCCTGCTCCAATTAACCGTTCATTAAGGTTCCCGTGGAAGCGCTGAGGGGACTCTAACCCCCCCGGGTGTGTGTTTGCTCGGCCGCAGGCAGCTCAGAGGCACCGGCGCCAGAACCGCCTGCGCCTTGAGGAGAAACTCGGCATTTTTCATCCCTTCTGTGAGAAGAAGCTGATGACCTGCAGCTCTCCCGGGGGAATGAGCGGGGCTGTGCTCCCCTGGCTGCTCCCCGACCCGGACCCACAGCTCGGCCGCTGCACAGTGTGAATAAAAAGGTAATCTGTTAAACATGGCTTTATTGCCCCAAATCTGGAGCTGGAATGGTGTAGGAGTGCATCTCCAAGATAACCTGTGTTGGATTTGAGGCTTCTTACTGGTGTCTTTGATAACTTTAATCATAAACAGGGCTTTTTGCTTGTTTGTTTTAGAACAGTGGATGGGAAATACTCTTACTAATTCCTTTTCTGTGTTTTCAGTCTCTTTTCAAGCATTACTGTAATGCCCCTCTCTCACTTTTACACTATTTCACTATTTTTTCTCCCTTACAGCAGTCTTACCCACTAACACTTTGCTTTTTGACTTTTCAATGCTCTGTTAAGGTGAGGTTTTTTTTTATTTTATAAACCTATCAATATTTTTTTCAACCTGTAAAAAAAAAAATCTTAGTTATATTTTACATTGTTTATATCAGTTTCTGGGCTTTCTAAATCTTAAAGTAGTAATTAATTCAAATTAATAACTTGAATAGGATGCATTAACTCAGTTGATCTTGTAGTATGTTAACTCTACAGGAAATTTAAATGTCTTCAGAAGACAAAGAAGCTCAGGAGGACGAGCTGCTGGCTCTGGCTAGCATTTATGATGAAGATGAGTTTAAGAGAGCCGAGTCAGCCCAAGGAGGAGAAACAAGAATTTGTCTGGAGTTGCCTCAAAACTTCAAAATTTTTGTGAGTGGTGAGTTGAGATGTTTTGTGTTATCCTGAAACTGGGTGATTTTCTGGTACGTGCTTAGATGGTTGCTGCTGTAGTGACCTGTGGGAACACTGACCAGAGAAAACCACGACTGACCCTGTGCTGTGCTTGGGGTATTGTTGGGGTTTATCTCTTAGCAGGTGGTTTCATCCTGTTACTTATAACTTCTGTAGTGAACTTTGAAATTAGAGGTGAGTGATAGTATTTCTTTGGAATAACAAGGCTAATTTATTATATTTTATTTTTTTCCTGGAGGATCTTTTTTTTTCCTGGATGATTTTCTTCACTGTGAGGGTGGTCAGACACTGGCCCAGGGTGCCCAGAGAAGCTGTGGCTGCTCCTCCCTGGAAGTGTTGAAGGTTGGATGAGGCTTTGGGCAACCTGGTCTAGTGGAAGGTGTCCCTGCTGATGGCAGGGGGGCTGGAACTGGATGAGCTTTAAGGTCCCTTCCAACCCAAACCATTCCATGATTCTATGTGTCTTTCCAGGTGCTTGGGTTGTGCAGGATCTGGTATTTCACAGTACTGGTGTTAACTGACTTAACCAGATCTATACAACCCCATGAAATATTTCTGCAAAACTGTGAAGTTTTGTTATTTAGGGTTGAACAAACCATTTTAAACCCAGAAGTTTATCACACTGAGTGCTGTCATAAACAGTTACTGTGCATTACCTTTCATTTTCTTGTTATTTCTCAAACTGCCTCAATTCTCTTCCATCCAGGCAGTTCCACAGAAAGCCTCCAGAACAGCCAGTTTGAATACACCGTTTGCTTCCTGCCTCCCATCGTGCTGAATTTTGAACTCCCACCAGACTACCCCTCGACCTCCCCGCCGGCATTTACCCTCAGTGGAAAATGGCTCTCCCAAGCCCAGGTCTGCAGAAGAGTTTTAATCTTCTAACAGAGCTTTTGTGATCCTAAGTTCATCATTAACAGTGCTCTGGGGGATGTTAATGTAGTAGATGAAAGTAAAATGATGACATTGCTCCTTCTGTTGGCTCTTCTGTTGTTTCCTACTTGTTTTCATTCAGTCACCGTTCTGAGGAATGAAAACTCGCACCTACGAGCATTATTTTTATGTGTATTGTATGTAGATATAAAAACTCCAGAATCTCAGGTGTAAATGTGCACTGAGGAGGACCAGGGGAGAGGAACCTCAGGGGTTGTCAGAACTTACTGAAACCTGGAATTGTTTTTTCTTTTCCAGCTCAGCGCTCTTTGCAAACACTTGGACAACGTCTGGGAAGAGAATCGAGGCTGTGTGGTCTTATTCGCCTGGATGCAGTTTCTGAAGGAAGAAACACTGAGTTATCTGAATATTTCCTCCCCATATGAGCTAAAAATGTGCCACCAAGGGAACGGGCAGAGCAGGACGCCTTTGGTCCCCCTCGATGCTGAGAAGGATTGTGGTGGTGCAGCGGGCTCTGCCGCAGCTGGAGAAGAAATCATTGATGCCAGAGCTGTGCAGGATGTGGAATCGTTGTCGAGTCTGATTAGAGAGATCTTGGACTTTGATCAGGCTCAGAGGAGGAAGTGCTTTAACAGTAAGATGTACTTGTGCAATATCTGCTTCTGTGAGAAGCTGGGCAGTGAGTGTATGTACTTCACCGAGTGCAGCCACGTCTACTGCAAAGCATGCCTGAAGGACTACTTTGAAATACAGATCAGGGATGGTCAGGTCCACTGCCTCAACTGCCCAGAACCAAAGTGTTCTTCTGTTGCTACTCCTGGCCAGGTAATAGAGGTGTGCAAGCAGTGGTGGTAGAGTTCTGCTAACTTACCCATAATTACAGAAGACAAGGTGTGGCTTTTCCTGGTGACCATTGTGAATATACCTGGGGAATTCTTTTTTTTTTCATACCCTGAGCCACACAGAAGCACCTGAGTTAAAACTGGATCACTTGGCACGTGTTTTGCCCACTCTGTTGGTACTGGCATTGCTCAGAGGCCTGAACTAGGCAATGTCTGATTGCATTTGACACTGCATGCTTTTCCTTTGATTAATTGTTATTAAAATAGCAATCCTAGGAGTGTTTTCATGACCTGTTGGAGAATGTAAAGCGGATTCATCTCAGCTGTAGGTACTTTTTCATTGACTTACTGTTTTTTTGCTGAAGCTAGCAGGCTCAGAATTCCCAATGCCTGTCACCTTGCTCTGATCTCTGTTTAGGTCAAGGAGTTGGTTGGAGAGCAGCTGTTTGCACGTTACGACCGCCTGCTTCTGCAGTCCAGCTTGGACCTGATGGCAGACGTCGTGTATTGCCCTCGCCCGGGCTGCCAGACACCCGTCATGCAAGAGCCAGGCTGCACCATGGGCATATGTTCTTGTTGTAACTACGCTTTTTGTACTCTCTGTAGAATGACTTACCACGGGGTCTCTCCATGCAAAGTCACTGCAGGTGAGTCAGCGCGTTTCAGGAACGGATTGAGAAGCAATTCTTGTGTGAAAAAGACTGAAAGTCAGAAATTAATCAAGGAAACTCTTCATATAGAATCATAGAATGGTTTGGGTTGGGAAGGGACCTTAAAGCTCATCCAGTCCCAACCCCCCTGCCATCAGCAGGGACACCTTCCACTAGACCAGGTTGCTCAAAGCCTCATCCAACCTGGCCAAGAACACTTCCAGGGAGGAGCAGCCACAGCTTCTCTGGCCAACCTGGGACACTGTCTCACCACCCTCACAGTGAAGAGCTTCTTCCTAAGTGAAGCTTTCTAAAAGATCAGATTCATTTGGACTAGGCTGTAGCTGGCAATTAAAAAGTTTTCCTTTGATGATTCCCCAACTCAGGAGGTCCCTAAACTGCCCATTGCCAAATGCAGAGAGGTCGTAGCAGGGGAAGAATAATTTTGTATGTGCCTTTTTTAATCCTTCCCTGTGAATCCACTACTTTCTGTTGCCAGAGTTAATACTGGAATCGGGTAGATGCTGCTCTATGTGTTTGGCATCAAAATGATGTGACAAAGTTTCATTAAATGTGTGTTCAGAAAAAAATATTTCTATTTTTCAGTTTATTTTCCATTGTAGATTTGTTCTAATTCCATTGACTGGTCCCTTTTATAATGAAACTCATTGAGATTTGAGGTAGAGGGGTTTTAATAGTCTCATCTTTTTTAATGTATTCTAATGTTTCACTTGCTTTTTAATTAATGACGTTAGTTTCCTTTGAGAATGCTTTATGCTGATGCTAGCTGGACTTCTTTATATATAATGTTTTTAATATATATATAATATTGTATATTCTTTATATATATATATTACTAAAGCTGTTTTGTTTTGTTTGTTTGGGTTTTGTTTTGTTTTATTCCCCAGAGAAATTAATGGATTTGCGAAATGAATATTTAGAAGCAGATGAGGCAACGAAAAGATTTTTGGAGCAGCGCTACGGCAAACGAGTGATTCAGAAAGCCCTGGAGGAGATGGAGAGTAAAGAGTGGCTGGAAAAGAACTCCAAGTCCTGTCCTTGCTGTGGCACTCACATAGAGGTGAGCAGGGAGGGGAGAGCCTGAAGCAGCACAGTAACTCTTGGGAGAAAGGAACGTAAATTCAGTCAGTTCTGTAGTTAGGCTGGGACGGGGGTTTGTTTGTGGCTCCAGGTTCCCCAGGGAGGGTGAGTTTGTAGGAAGTGGTCAGACAACTTTCAATTTGTCTGTGTTATATAGACAGGGAGGGGATGCTTCTGGAGCTCAGGGACTTGAGGAAATACAGCAGCTGGTAGTTCAGACTCCAGGACTAACAAGATCCAGGTTGACTGTGGATCCATATGAATGCCTTTGTTTTCCAGGTGTTTCAGGCTACAGCCAGGAAATAACACTAGCTTCAAAAAAACCCCCTAATTTCCAGCATTGTTAGTATTACAACCAATTTCCAGTTCTGTGATTCCAGCTCCTAGTTCTTTTGAAGGGGGGGGAAAAATATCAGTGTTGGGATAGAGTGGGGGTAAAACATATTTGTCAGTGGATGGGTTTTTGGGGACTGTTCTCACAGAGACAGGCTGGAAGACTGACAGGGTCAGATTCTGTGATTGCCATTTCTTGTTTCCTTCCCCTGCCAGAAACTCGATGGTTGTAACAAGATGACGTGTACTGGCTGCATGCAGTATTTCTGCTGGCTCTGTATGGGCTCTCTGTCGAGGGTGAACCCGTACAGGCACTTCAATGATCCATCCTCCCCCTGCTTTAACAGGTACATATGGACACGGCTTTTAGTGTCTATATTATTTAT